ACAATTAACTCAATCATTGTTAATCGAAAAGATCCTGTGACGATAATAAAACAGTTCGAAACAATTCTTGAGAAATAGACAGGCCAGGACGCGGCTGAAAAATGGAAAGTAGCGCGGGGCAGAGTAGAATGTGAGGCGTCAAATGTGATGAGACAGAGGACGCGAGACCGATTTTTATCGTTCTGCGGAACTCTGGGACCTACTATATTGAAGAAAACGGCGAAAACAGTGGTCATTTTGACCCATCGGGGCTATAATATCTGCTTGAAGGAAATAATCAGCTGATTAAAGCCTATGATAACTTTTCATTTATTAATTGACATCAAGTTGGTCTGAAACATATAGTTTTCTGCCAGCCGTTCTCCGAAAGTGAGAGAAAGCAGCGAGATAATCTTCAAGAAAAAACAGCCAATTTGAATGATGAGACATGGCATACTGGGTTAAAATTATGCTAATATAAAACAAAAAGCCTGAGGAAATGCGAGAAAACTCGAAAAATTCAAAGAAACCAAGGGGGAAACGGAGTACTCTCGTACTTCCTGTGCTCCGTGTACTCCGGGAGCACAGCAATACGCCGTTTCCTCCACCGTCTGCAGCCTCTGTCTGTCACGGTCTGCGATGGTCTGTGGCCTCTGTCTATTATGGTCCGCAATGGTCGGCAGATAGAGTCTGCTTTGGTCTGTGCACAGCCCAAATTCCTATACCTTTCCAACACAAACCTTATCAACTAGGTTCAAAGGTCAAAGGTTAATGGTTCAAGACTAAAGATTAAAGAATAAAGATTAAAGATCAAAGATCAAAGATCAAAGGTCTACGAGTACGTTTCTATACAAACGAAGTAAGGGATTAATGGCAAATGGTAGACTTCTATAGCAGCGAGAAACGGTATCTCGATCATAACAGTCCTTAAGCCATTCTACAACTTTCTAGACTGTTCCAGACGTTTGTATGCCAAGGTCTATGAGGATCCTAATTGCTGCCCCTATGTACTTCAACACTCAAGGGTTAAAAGCAGATTTCGTTTATCCCGGATACAGTGGGAATCCAGAGGATATGATGGGAATACGGGGGATACACAGGGTATGTCAGAAATCTAGAGGATACATTGGGAATCCAAACGACCCAGAGTAAGGATGCTCTAGTTCCATTTATGAACTGGAGATCGCGTATCAATCGACTCATAGAACTAGGGGTGAGACACTAATGAGATTCTCACACCGATCTTTGGCGTTTTCTTGGGTGCTCATTTGCTTATTCTCGGAGGGGTACTTGGGTCTTCATCTGCCTATCCTATGAGGGTACTCATAGGTCCTCAAGAGGTATTATATGGTGACACCCATAGATCTTAAAGAGCTATTATATGGTGATACCTATAGATCCTCAAGAGCTATTATATGGTGCGCCCATAGGTCTTTGAGAGCTATCCTATGAGGATATCCATAGGTCCTCAAGAGCTATTTTATGGAAGTACGCATAGGTCCCAAAGAGCTATCATATAGGGTACCTATAAGTTCCCAAGAGCTATCCTATAAGGGCACTCATAGGTCCTCAAGAGCTATTAAATGGGGATACACATAGGTCCTCAAGGGCTATTCTGTCGCTACACTTATATAACAGGACTTGAGGGCTTAAGGGTATCCTATATAATAGGACTTGAGAACCTATGCGTACCCTCATAGGATAGCCCTTGAAGACCAATAGGTATCCCTATATAATAGGACTTGAGGACATATGGGCATCCCGATAGAGTAGCCCTTGAGGACATATTGGTACCTTCATAGGATAGCTCTTGACTACCTAAGGGTATCCCATGGGATAGCTTTGAGGACCTATGAGTACCCTATATAACAGGACTTGAGGACATATAGGTATCTCCATATAATAGTCCGCGAGGACCTGTGAGTACCTTCGTAGGGTAGCCCTTGAGGATCTATGGGTACCTTATACGATACCCCTTGAGGGCCAATGAGTACCCCTATACAATAGGACTTGAGGGCCTAAGGGTATCTCCAAAATATAGGACTTGACGACCTAGGAATACCTTCAAAATACAGGGGTTGAGGACCTAGGATGCCCTAAGAATTTGTTTTGCTCTGAGGTAGGTTCAAAGTAGTACCCTGCAGCGAAACAAATAAGTATACAAACACACATTCAAATTCAGGATTAGGACCCTAACTACAGTTAACGGAATATTCGTATCGAGGATCCAGAGAATTCCATGGCAATCCGGAGGATCTATAGGATTCCGGGATCGGACAATCTACTTTTTTCCCGTGTCAACTCTCCTTTTAGATCGTGTTTCACAAAAACTTCAAGTCTGCTTTTCAATAATTACTAAGCCCGTTTCATATTACATTCAATGTACTCCTGTTGTACTCCGTTTTCCCCTTGGGACGATTGGTTTAATCAAGCCAATGAATCTCATGATAATAGGGCCTTGCTTTACAATAAGAAATACGATATTCAAATGATAGACAAGGAATAAGAATTTTAAAAGTTCGAAAAAATCTCGAAAAATCCCGAGAAATCCCAAAAAATCCCGAAAAATCCCAAAAAATCCCGAAAAATCCCGAAAAATCCCAAAAAATCTCAAAAATCCCAAAAAATCCCGAAAAATCCCAAAAAATCCCGAAAAATCCCAAAAAATCCCGAAAAATCCCAAAAAATCTTCTTTGGATTTTAGAATCTGTAAAATCCCAAATCCGCTTTTTCCCCCTTGGAAAAATACCGAAGATTATCATCTTGAAAATAATAATTCAAGAAATGCATCGGCGCTTGAAATGTGCAAACGTTATTGATGTTGAATTCGATATCATTTCGCGCTCACGATTTATTTAAAAATTAAGAAATTCGACAAAATGTCCTGTATTCGAGACGTTAATACTGGTAGAGTATATGAAAAATTCAACTGATCGGCTGCAAAACACAAACTATCAAAGACAAAAAAGATTAGCAACTTAAGAGGACCTATTGATGATCTTATATTTATTTCATTGAATAATCATTCTTAGTAATTAAACCTGACGACAAGAAAAAATTCAAAGTACTAAACAATTAGAGATATATACAATGATAAAATGGTTTCAAATGAAGTCAGAAGAAATTAGAGTCTCTTGAGAGTGAGCACTTTGCACAATTTCGAAAGTACTCATGGTTAAAGCATTTTTTTGCATAAAAACTATCATATGGGAAATAATTAAATATAATTTTAACGAAAACAAAATGTAACGAAATTCTTACATGAATCACAGTTTTCATTTTAATACATTTAATTCTATGTATTTGAACATAACAATTCATTACTTCTTCTTCTTCTATTACATATGAAATTATCAACACGATATATAACATTAGGATAAAAAAGTTTTAATATATTCACTGTGTTAATTTTAATGGTCAAGGTTCTTCTCAAATAATCCGATTAAAAATGGTATCTTCCGTTATTGACAGCGGCGTAACTAAAGGTGAAGCAAACGCGCAATTACCCATTTATATTTTCGTTTTTCAGAATTGTTTATTTATTTTTGAATTAGATAATAACTGTATTTTCTTTTCTTCCGTCTGAATCGCACATGCACTCTTTGCTTGTTCTTTCTGTGAAGAATGAAGAAAAGAATTGCTTGTTGTATTTTAACTGTAAGTTTGGGTGAGCATGAGTGTCGGTCTACAACAAAACAAAAATGGGCTTGTTACTACATACATTCATAAAGATCTCAATATAAATCCAAATGGAATATTGAAATTATATACACAAATGCATCATCGTCGTCTTGATTTTGGTGTTTGAATTTGAAATATAAATGTTATAAACAGAGACATTAAAAATAGACTAAAACACATCTGATCTGAGTTTGATGCATATTTGATTAAAAGAATTTCATTTCATTTTTTTTACGTTATCAGTACTTTGTTGGGTCAACAAATTTTTGGTCTATCATTAAAAACCTTGCCCATTGTTTTTTTCCGACACAAGAAAAGTTTGTCCATTGGTCTAAAAATTATAGTTACGCTGCTGGTTAGTGACTACTAACGATACAATAGAATATATTTCGTGAAGAGTCTTATTCATAAATATAATTTAACTAAAATAAATTAAATTGCAATCCAATGCAGCATTCTATTTCTGATATTTCCTTTAATAAAACATGCAAAGAGTATGAATCCTGTGCTTTATAATAGCGCGTCATTTTCTAAAAAAAAATTTTTTTCTTCAATCAATTTCGATTTGCGTACTTGAAAAATAAGCCTATATGAAATTATTAAGTGCTTTCTTTTATGTGTTTCATGTGATATAGTTATAATTCATATTAAATGAAGTATCTTAATAAACAATTCGTCCTTGTCTGAAAGATTCTAAAGGACATAAAAACATCTTTCATATACTATATTCTGACAACTTTCTAGATGGCACTAGATTTCAGCAAAGACTTTTTTAAAATAATTAAATTTTATTTTATTTTAATTTAATCATTTATTCTAAAAAATATCTGAAATAACAAAGTTTTATATATGTATATATATATATATTTTTTTTTTTAAACTTTCAATATACAAATCAAATAATATGAATAATGAAATTATTAATCTAATAGTACCCATCTTGTTGAAGTTAAGCTATATAATCATTCTACCAATCGAAAATTTTTGCTCGAATGTCATTTTGCATACACACACAATAGTCTCATTGTTTCCTTCTTCGAGCCGACCGGACTAGTCATAAAATATTTCTCACTTTTTTTAGGATAAAAAGAAAAAGAGAAAGAAACGAATGTTTGTTGCCGTCTTCTTCACACTTCTTACATTTGCAAAATAAATAATACTGAATGACTTGTTGCTGTCGGTAACCAACATTCTTTTCTTTTGTGTTTTATAAATACATGTTCAAATTCATTTTTTTTTACCATTTTTTTTTATTAAGAGATGGTGTTTTTACTATTTTTATATTATTTTACTTTTTTAATTTAGATTTCATTTAATATCGACATAATCAATTATAAATCATGGTTCATGCAATAACAACGCTTGAAGAACTTCGAAGTGAAACTGAACATGAAAAAAACAAAAACAAATTAATCGTCATAGATTTTTTTGCAACGTAAGGAAAATTATTTTCCCATAAAGAAAAAAAAAGAAGAAAAGATAATTTTATTTTTTTTCTATTAGATGGTGCGGTCCTTGTGTTCGTATAGCACCAAAAATTGAAGAATGGAGTACAGGTGATTTCAAAGATAACGTAGTTTTTTTAAAATGTGATGTCGATCAAGCTGAAGCTGTTTCACAAGAATATAATATTGAAGCAATGCCAACATTTGTTTTCATTAAAAATGGAAAAGAAGTTCATCGACTTGTTGGTGCAAATGTCGACCAATTAAAAGCTGACATTGATAGCAGAAGCAAATAGATTCAAAATTATCCAAAGAAAAAAAAAAATCTATATAAACTCGCAACACTAAAAAGGAAATGTTTTTTTTTTCATATGCTTACGAATCCAATTACTTAATGATTTTGTAATGTGTAAGGAAAGATTATTTTATAGAAAATTATTTGTCAGAAAAAATACTAGTGAATGTTTATCTTGTTCCTTATTTCTGCTAATTAATAAAAATAAAAATAAAACATATTCTCTTAATTTATTGTTACAAGAAGGCAAAGTGTATTATCTAATAATATCAAAATTCTTATTCTTGATGCAAATATTTTATCAGTATTAAATGTTTATTTTCAATAATGAATAAAATAATGTTAGATAAAGAAATTTACTATAAGGAATTCATTCAATAAAATAACGAATTTTTTCTACAAGTAAACCACATAAGTAATATCATAGAATCAAATACAATACTTGAATTTATTCATAAAGATTAATCTATCATTGAATAAGACAGATACTTTTACAATCAGAGTTGCCAGTCTATCCTGATTAAAACTTACTTGAAATCCATATCGTAGTTCATTCCGAACGTTAGGTGTCACTATTGGCAGAGTTGTATTTTGAAAAATGTTAAAAACAAATGATTGGAACAACTTGGAAGTATATTAGAATAGGAGGCAGAATAATACATGGAAAAGAGAAAAGTAAATGTAGTTTAACTTCTTTTCAGACGAAAAGAATATCAATTAAATAATTGAACTATTTTTAATTTAGCATGTGCCTGTAAGTGTGATCTGCTAGTAGGTTTGTTTATAACGTTTTAAGTACAAATTGCATGATTTACTTGTTTTGACAACCTGTCAATCATTTGTTTTTGTACTTAATTATTGATGAATAATGTACTGATAAGTTTTTTTAGAATTGCTATTTTCAGAAACATATTTGTAGACCACAAGAGTATCATATGAATTAATATAGGAAGTACATACTAAAAAAAATTATTCTATTTAAAGTAAGAAATAATAAAAATATCACGTATTTGGTTCTTCTGTGTTTCTTTTTTGTAGTTTAAACAATTAACATTCAATTATATATGAAAAAATCTTTTTATTTTTTTGCTACTAAATTATGTTACTCAATGGCATAGTTGAACATTATGTAAAACATAGATTTATTGGGAATTTTATAGGACTTTAGTTCCATTTTGTGACATTTTTCGTCTGCTAGGAAAAAATCTTAATGATTTATAAGGTAACCAGACTTTTGATCGCAGGACAACTCGTCGCATAGACAGAACATTACGATATTGTTTCTGAGTGTGGATACTAGCGAAAGAAACACTTGTACCAACAACCACACACACTCTTCTTTTCAAAATTTTGCCAACAAAAGAGGGAGAACAAACTGATTTCTATACTAGAAATCATTATAATGCATTAAGGATAAGAATAATGACTGGAAGTGGTTCAGAATTATCGAGAACCATTCTACATCATAGAAAATCTCCAGTAATAAGATTAAAAATAAAGCTTTGATTTTCCTTCATTTCCGATGATTCTTATTGATTGGCAGTGAACAGATAAAAATTGATATCCACTGATTGAAATCAGTTTGTTCCCTCTCGAATAAATACATTTATTGAGTATTAATCAATTTGTCAAGAAACTAAATTTATTAATCTATATTCGAAATCATTATAACCTGTTTAAATTGTTAATTAGTAAGATTTATTTTTAAAAAATCATACATTCGTTTGAATATATTTCCACTCATTAAAACTCCTGTCTTATAATTAAAATGCATTGTAAAATATAAAAACAATTAAATGTAGTTTTTCAATCTTCTCAGCTTCTCCAGATAAAATGCATCATGCTTGGCCAAAGTTGAGTAGAAGATTTCTAGAGCATAAAACGACTGAACTTATTCATTCAATAATTTTTTAGAGATTTTCGTATATTCTCTATCGATAGAAGTTCATTTATTTTAAATAACAACCAGAATAAATAATAGTCATCAGCCAAAAATCAAGCATTTTTGTATTTAAAAAAATGTAGAAAACAGAGTCTTTTTGTCTTGTATCGTATTTCAAACATTATCTTATCATTTAAAACAATTGAAATAACAGTAAAGTCGTTGAAGTTTGATATCAGTAGATTACTTGGCATTATTGTCAAAGCTATTTAAAAATGCGCTCTTGTTTTAGAGTATAAAAATAAATTTCCAAAGTAATAGGAAATAATATCAATATAAATATATATATCATCAAACAAAATATTTAAAATTTGTTTATACTCTACGAAATAAATTTTTATATATCTTATTTGTGACTTTAAAAAAAAAGAACACAAAAAAAAACCAACAATAAAATAATAAATATGTACATACAAACATATACAATAGAAATTCTTGTTCTTTTTTTTTTGTTGTTGTTATTTTAAGAACGATTATCTCGACAATTTGGACAAAACCATTTTCCTTTAGGTTTTGTTGTTAGATTAACACAATTAAAGTGAAACCATTTTATTTCACATGATTTACTGTCGCATAAAATCATTGAACCATAAGAAAGCTAAAAAAAATTAAAGAATTCAAATGAAAAATATTTATTATTACTCAATTTACTTGTGAACATAAACAATATGTTGGTTCATCGGATGGTGTTGATGTTGTATCATTATTTAATTTAAATTTTTTATTATTTCCACTATTTGTATTTTGTGTATTAGAATTTGTATTTCTTTGCGTAGGTTTTTTTCTTTCACGTTGATCATTATTATGTTCATTATTAGTAACACATTTTCGTTTAAGATTTATTGTTGATGTTGATGGATTATTTGTTGTTGTTTTGCGTTTCCATAATGATGTTGTTGATGTTTTTGTTGATAATGAACGTTGATTATTCATTTCAGAATCAAATTCATTTTCCGATTCAATTTCATTTAAATTACTTTCTGTTGATGTTGATGATTGTTGATTTATTGATTCGACTAGAAAAAGAAATAAATTCGAAAAATATAATTCATATAAAAAAAAAACAGAAATTTTACTATATTTTTGATAAGCTATTTTAAGTTTTTTTGATTGTCGTTCAGTAGTATCAAGCATTTGTTGACTTAATTGCATTTTTTTATCACCTATTGCTTTAGCTTGTATTAAAGTATTAATTAATATTGTTTGAATATCCGATTGAGATTGCTAAAAATAACAAGAAAATAAATTTATTATATAGAATTAAATAAGAATTTTTACCGAATCATGTTGTTGTTTATTACGTAGATTATTAACAAGTTCTCGAACACGATTATAACAATCTATATGACATGAGAAAAAATTCATTCGAAATGTTTTGTAAAAAAAAACAAAGAAGGGAACTAACTATTCTATTCCAAAAACACTTATTATATTACATTGTTTTCGTTTTTAAGTAGATTATTTACCGGTGAAATAACTTCTGAGTCACTGTAAGTCTTAGTCAATTCTTACAATTATTTACAGAGCTTTTAGTTCTATCAATTGATAATATCTTCAAGCAAACCGATGCTTAATGTTAGTTCACGACGATCCTAAAGGAATTTTATTAAATATAAATAGGTGAAAAAAAATAAACTGTTTTCTAAAATGTTCGTTTGTTTTATTATTCGGATTGTAATGAACAGTTAGTATACTCGACTAAACTTTATTGTCAAATCTAACTCTTTTATAATATATGTATAAAAATAAAATACTTTGTAAATAAATATCAAGTTGTCGAATTTGTGATAATTCATTTAGATCAATTCCATTTTCTTGATAATCAACAAATTGTCGCATATATTCATAAACTGCTGTTTCATTATTTAATATATTTGATTGATTATTAGTCGTCGTTGAAGAAGCCATTGAAGAAAACAACAAAAAAAGAATATCTAAAAGAAGGTACAATTTTTTTTTGTTCTTATTTCTTCATATTCTAATTCCTAGTCATATCATCAAATAAATATTTTAAATATTTCCTCATGTCATATATTGAAAATAGTTGGATTTAATCAAATCGTTGTTTGTCTACTGAACAAATAAACCTTTACGATATTTTGAAGACCAATGAAAAAGAAGAGTAGAGGTACGAATGTTCTAAAAACATTGGTTGATTGGTTTCCTTATGATGATTCATTGACTGCTATAGTTACAACCAGTGCCAATATATCTAACATTAGATCAATATTTTTAATGAAAGATGTACCAAGTAGAAATAAAATCTACAGAATTTCTGCTGTACATGCTATTTTGATGATATAAAAAAAAGTAAAATTCAATTAGGTTTTCCTTTCGTTGCAAAAGACTACAAATACAACTCACATGACTTTTGTCTGAAAACAAATCTGAAGTGTCTGTAAATTTTTTTTTCTAATTTAGCATAAAAAAATTGAGTAGAAAAATGTTATTTTCTTACATTAGAAATTAACAACGCGAAAAACCACTATCAACATATGTATTTTTTTTTCTGTGACACAAGATAAGACATTTGGTCTTATCTTGTATCACAAAAAAACCAGATGAATTGACACAGATACCTATAAAAACATACTATCAGCCTACATATATTGACAATGGTTTTGTTTTACATTATTTATTTTCAATCTAAGAAAATAATATTTTTCCATTCAGTTTTTGATGCTGAATTAGAATAAAAACTACTTTCAGAATGTTAAAAAAAAGATTATAGAAACTTCAAAGTTATTTTATGAAAAAAAGCTAATGCTAATACTATTAGCACTAAAGTTTCGTATAACTTTTCAATAGGTCTCGAAATGATAATTTGATCATCGTAAACTTATAGTTTATCGAAAATATCTACTTTTGATCAATACATAACATTAAATCCACAGCTAACTTCAACGAGATATGTATGATTAAGTTTACAAGAAAACATTATGGAGTCATATCAAGAGTTTTGACTTTGATGCATGTCCTCCTTTCATAATTATTGTCATTCATTATAGTTCATATGTATTTTTTATTCAAATAAAAATACGTTCTAACTGTTACTTGTTATACTCTTCTAGATTATTTGGTAAATTACATTTTTACACAGATCTATATTGGAATAGTCTCAAGTTGCAATAAAAATTAAAATTTTATTAAAATAAGAATAGTTTTCGAAAATGGCACAAAATAAACGAGTTGAAGCACGAAGAAGAAGAAGACGCCCTAGTAAATAAAATATTTTTTTTTCTTCAATAAATTATCTGATTATTGTTGATTGAGTTCATATCGAATGTCCGATATGCATTGATGAACAAACTATACCATCAACAAACCCGCTGACCTATACGTAAATCAATGAAAACCATTTTGTAAATATTCTTTCTAGTTTTATTACTTTTAGTTTATCAGATATAGGGGAAGAAGCAACATTTGATTATCAAGGAATATCAATAGATATTTCTGTTCATTCGTTAATAAAAACTTAAATACTTGGAGATAGAGATTTCAATCGTGTGAGATTGGCTGAAATTAAAGAACATCTAGAAATAAAAATCGCTGCGAAAGTGAGTTAGATATTTTTCTTAAGAAAATGATCATAATTATAAATTAATATTCATTGGTTTTTTTTTATTTCAAATTTTTGTTGTACGTTTTAATGTCAGAATTTACAGGACATAAGAAATACGATGTACAACAAAAGTATTGTCATTTTGACATATAACATACTTGTCATTATTGAATATCTTCGATTTGTAAATTATATAGATTGATATTATGATATGCATTCACAGAATTATTCATGGAACTATGGGAAGGATTTCCCCAACTCTACTCGATTCGAAAATGCTTAATTCTTCTAAATAACTCATAAATGAATTTGAATACTATTTTTGAGTGCAACATACATAAATAGTTCCATTCCTTTTTCGGATCACATTTATATTCATCTTAATGCAACAACATGTAACACTATGAACAGGTATATGAATCCGAGGAATGAAAATCTTCAGAATACATTTTGATGATGTAATGAATGATGAAGAACTGCATCCAAAAATGTGAATTTGAAAGTCAAGAGCATCAAAGACATGTGTAGGTGCATGTCTTAAATAGAATGATATTGATTCGATTGAATGAAAAAATGTTAATGGAAAATTTTCTATTAAACAATGTCGATCATATAAAAATAGCGAAAAAAAATCTCGAGATATTGTCAAGAAGCAAGATTAACTTTTTGTCCTTGTCTTTCGTCAATCGATCTTTTTTTTTCGATAAGCTAGTCGTTTTTTTCAAGACATCTATGAATACGGGTGCTCAAGCATGACAAAAATGAAATACCATCAATGCGATTTTAAAAGGGGTGTGGTTGTGTGTCCATTGTTCATCTACACCCACACCTCACACTCACACCGTATCCTCATAATTCACCGTTGTAAATCAATCTTGAAACCAACAGATTTATGATTAGTCGAGTAAAAAGAAGAGTCGTTGTTACTTTGGACAACATCTATACAAAATAAATCGTAGGATAAAGCAGCAATGTGAATTAAACTATTCAGCTTTCAAAAAAAAGAGATTCATCGAATCGACTGACCTTTGAGTGTTCGCGAAATAAAATGCCGTATTTACTAACATATTCGTTGTATATGTTCTATTTTATATGCAAATAGAAGGAAACAGAGGGAAAGTGATTAAGTAATGTCGAATTAGTCAATTTTCGTCTAAGATGAATGACGTCGATTCTGATATCGTTGCATGAATTCATAATCAAAAACCAGTCTGAATCATATATAATCTGTTCTGTATATAACATTTCATTCTAAGTAATTATAGCAAGTTTAGTTACGAATTCAGTGCAAAAAGAAAAACATTTCGTTTTATCATGCTTGAAAGTCTGAAGAAAGAAATACTCACCAATGCACTTTAGGTATAGTTGTCTTCATTGACATCAACACCCGCATCTATGTTCCTTTTTCTTTCATCAAATGAATATTTTTGTGTTAAATTTTTTTCAG